TCCCACCCTGATTTCAGAAGGCCTGGGAGGTCAAGCCATGTGCCCCCAAAAAGGCAATGTGTGAAGCTATGATACTGAAGCCAAAGGTGGAATGGAGAACTTAGAATTTTGGAAAAGCCAGGAGCATGGATCATCTAAGGAAAGCTACAAGGATTGAGGAGAGCAGGCCTAAGAGAAGCCCTGAGAGCTAAAATCCCTGAAAGTGCCATTGGGTGGAGTCATTCGAGCCTTTTGGAGCTCACAGCCAGATTGCTTCAGATGCCAGATGTGGAACTTCAGGATTTAATGTTTGCCTTGCTGGATTTTGGACTTGTTTTGGTCTCATTCCTTTGTATCCCTGTTTTAACCTTTGGAATGGTAAAGTTTATCTTGTGTCATTAAATGTTGGAAATGTTTAACTTTGTTTTCATTTGTACAGGGATTATAGCTAAGAGTTTGCCTAAAATCTTGGAGGAGACTAGGGACTTGTTCAGCAATGCTGAAACTGCTAGGACTTTGGCAACTTTCAGAGATGGACTAAATGTCTTTTGCATAAGGAATGTGCACAAGTCCTTGAGGAACCACAGGTGGAATGTTGTGGCTTGTTTAAATGTCCCCCAAAGCCTCATGCAGTCATGGAGGTGGCTGAGTCTAGCCTTGTGATTGGTTCATTGTCTAGTGTTGGGATTGGTGGTGTGAGTGCTGCACCCGCCCAGGAGCAGCTCACCAGCATACCATATAAGGGAGGGAAGAGGGAGTGTTTTCCCCTTTTTGTCCTTTTCATTCTTGTCATTTGCAGCTGCCACAAATGCTTTTGTCAAACTATAAACTAAGTAAAGACTTCCTTCCCTAATTTGGGGCATCAGGTATTTTGTCTCAGCAACCACAGAAAAGTAACCAAGACAAAGAGTAAATATAATCAACAACAGAAGAGACATAGACAATGAAACATTGCTGAAAGAAATTAAAGATATCGATTAATGGAAAGATATGTTTAGAACTCAAAGACTTAATATTAAGATACCAACACTGCTCAAAGCAATCCATACATTTAAACACAATTCTATCAAAATTCTTATTTTTCCTTTGCAAAAGTAGAAAACGATACCCTAAAAATTCAATAAGTTTGGTACAGATATAATTGATAATTCCAAGCTGAGAATAACTTCCAGACAGGGAAAGCCACAGGGATGGGAAGGGGCAATTTATCATAATGGGTTTTTTCCCCCTTAGGGACCCTCATGGGAACCTTCTAATTACTAGAAAATATAGAAATTCAAGTCTGTTATCCATTCACTGAATATTTACTGTCAACAGTGTATCTTACTTTTTTCCCCCAGTGCCAGGGCTCAAACCCAGAGCTTCCAACCTGCTACACAAGCGCTCTATTACCAAGCCACATCCCTGACCCTACAATGTGCCTTTGAAGCATTTATTATATAACAAAGGCTGTGGCTGGCTGTCCTATACTTGAGTGTCCCCTCCCAAATTAGGAAAAGTTAATCAAGGTCCCAAGCAAATGTTCACTGTGATGTTGAGACTCTGTCAGAGGCTTGCCTGCAAAAACTGCCTGCATAGGAAATCATCTTAAATTGCTTATTACAGAATTCTGAGATTCTGCTTCAATAATTCTGGACTTTCTTTTGTGATACTTTTCAGTCAGTTGTTCTCTAGCAAAACTTCATTTTTGAGAAACCAGGGTGGAGCTTAAAACTTCACAGGAAGTAGGCCTGGTCCTTAGAACTCAGTCTCTTCTTTCAATATCTAAACTAATTTACTTCAAATATTATTCTGAAAGCACTGTTTCTCAGGTAAGATATATTCTGCTCCACAGGAGAATACCCAGCAATATTTAGAAACATCTATAATCGTCACAACTAAAGGGTGCTATTTGTATCGAGTATGTTGAGGTCAGAGATGCTGTTAAACATCCCATAGTGCACAGAAGAGCCAGGTCACCACCATCACCCTCTGAACATAATTATCTGGCACAAAATATCAAGTGACAAGGCTGAGAAATCCTGCCAGAATTTAAAATAAGTAGCCTCCAGAGCAACACACTGTTGCCAGGTATTTTCGCCACCTGAGTAGATAAAGCCAACCAGTGCTACAGAATGGAGAATTGGAAAGGCTTAGTTTTCAAGAAACAAAGGTTCCCCTACTTGTTCCTCAGCTGGGATAAAATAGGCACTGGAAGTATTTAAGTATAATCAGCCTACAAAGATCAGAATTCTTTGATGAAACAACTCCCGAGGACAGATGTTGGGTGGTTACCTAGTTCCATCACCATCCATGAGATACAAGAGTGTTTCTTCTTCAAAGGTCATAACGCTAAAAAAGGACAGCTCTTCCCCATCACTTCTGTGAACTTCTCTGCGCCACCTAGCTGCAAGGCGCATGCAGCCAGACATCTAAGATGTAAGGCACAACCACTGAGGGAGCTGCAGGCACCTGGCCCTACAGCAGTGGCTCTATATACATGCACATTTGTATAAGACAGCCAAACGTCCTCTTGGCCTTCAGTATATGCTACTGCCCTGACATCATTAACACAATTTCTTTTCATTCTCAAAGGGGACAGGAAATATGTAAGATGAGCCTGGGACATTTTGTTATCCCAAAAAGCAAAGATACTGTTGGTAATTAGAGCTGTGACAGAAGGAATGAAAAGCCAAGTGAAAGAGGCTTCCACTGGCTAAAGATAATATTTTGAGCATCAAATCTGAACTATATCAAATGTAACTGTCAAATGTTCAAATTCACAATGCACTATGATTGTTTAAAAACTAATCACCTAGGCCTGGGATAGCTCAGTGGCTGCTTCCCTAGCATATATCAGGCCTTAGGTTTGATTTCAAGCACGCCGTTAAAAGGGGCAGGGTTTTGCCTTGTAAGAACAAAGTAACTACTTCATTACTGAGAAAACAGGTACATAAAAGGACAATCAGGCGTTTATCCTTCCTATCCTCTATACACTGAATCTGAAGTATCCTAATTATAAATGAGAGGAAATTTCTTACAGAAGTATCCCAGTTACTAAATGAAGAATCATTTACTGGACTCATGAAATACACAGAACCAGCTCCTCCTCACATTATATAAAAAGAAATAACCAGACAAGGCCACCATCTAGATGTGTTTTTGGCAAATATGAAAGATGAATCAGATCACACCTTTAAATGTCTACATTTTTAGTTATTACAGAGGAAAAAGAAATATGTTAAATAATATTTTGGGGATACAAACAACAAAATTTAGAGTATTTTTAAATGCCATAGATCAATCTATTTTTAATGAATATATTTCAAGAAAAAACAAAGGATAATAACTAAACTGCAAGACTTAGAAGCCAATCATCTAATTGTTCTTAAAAATATATGAGTTTTTGGAAAACATTACTTGGATATTTTAAAATTTTTAAACTTGTTTTTTAGGTATAATACCATTATGATTTTTAAGAGTTCTTGCCATTTATAGGCATACACTGAAATATTTGGAAATAACATTTGAAATTTGTTTCAAAACACTTGGGAGGGAGAAGTACAGATGAAAGACTGGCTGAGTTTGTAACAAAACCAAATGATGACTATATAAAGATTCACTTACATATATCTGAAGTTTACTATTATAAAAATGTTTCTAAAGAACACAGAAAATATTTTTTGGTGATAGTTGAACAGATATCACAAATGAAGTGAGTACAGTCCAATGGGAAAAACTCCCTTTTAATTTAGGCTTTTGCAGATATGGTCCAGAAAGTCTGGCTCTAGAGCAGACATGCAAGAGGCCACATTCAGCAAAATAGGAAGTTTCAGTTCCTCCTGCAGTTTCTCTCAGGAGATTCTTGCTGAAAACCCAGAGGCCTGTTTGGTTAAGTAAATCAACAATTTAATTCAGATAAACACACAAACCACTGATATGGTGGCTCCTATGGTCTCTGCCTGGCTGTGGGATACAGATTTCCTGGGAAGGTGGTATCTTGGCCTGGCCAGGCCCAGATCCTGTGAATTTTGTACATGGACCTCAGCATTACTTAGTAACAGCAGCAGCCCTGTGTACACGTTTCATATAATACAACCTGGTTGGTGTAGCTCGTGGCTGTAGCTGATGGGTTTGGAGAGTCGTAAGTGGTAAAATTATGTTTCAAAGTGTACTGAGTAATACAGTTCTATCAGTCATACCTTTTACCTTATTTATAATGCATAATAGAAACTCAACAAAAGATTATTACAAGGCATCATGTGACAAATCATATCTTTCAATGGTATACTGTCAGCAAAAGGCAAACTTAGTGTGCAAAGGCACAGCCTAAAGGTAACACAGCTGTACAGTTCCAAGAATGTTAAACAGCAAGAATGTTAAATGGCAAGATAACATTAAAGATAAAAACTTTAACACAGAAACACTCTGTCTTCTTGCTTTTGAAAGAAATGTATTTGTTAGATACCTACATCTTTTATGTTCTTGAAACCAACACTACCACCTCAACATCTCTACTAATTAGTGGTGTCCAGAATCATGAGTGTCTTGGATTTTAAGACTCCAGATGCACCAAGGACAGAGGTTTTTCAGCAACAGAGCTAAATGGTAAAAGCAATTCAGGACAAGAAGCTGCCAGGACCAAGGACAATTCGATCTTCAGAACTTATGGGTTCTGAAGATCAAGTACACTGACCAACATGCCAAGTACACTTCAACATCAGGGATCTGTCCCCCAGTGTGTCCCAACCACCCAGAAGATTCCTAGTAGATGGCAAGGTTTCAATAAATACTTATGGAAAAATCAAGTAAGAATATAGAGTAAAGCCTTTTCTTTTACTGTAAGGTGCCACCAAATCTTGGGTATTAATACCCAAGGCATTGCCGGGCATGGTGGCACATGCCTGTAATCCCAGCATTACAGTGGCTGAGGCAGAAAGATCACTGTGAGTCTGAGGCCAGCCTCGGGTACGTGATGAGCTCAAGGTCAGCCTGACAGTACAGTGAGACCCTGTCCCAGAATAAACAAACAAAAATACTAGTTCATTTTTTAGGCTCTTTAATCACACCTTTGTACAGAATTGAAGCTTTGTTTAAAAATATTCTCATGTTTATTCAGTGATTGATAGCAAAATATTAATTTCCTAATGGCTGATGTGTTGACAGTTGTTATAGTACAAAGAATAATGGTGTGGGGAAATATTACATATGAGGGTAGAATGGTACAGTCAGAAATAAAGGAGGCTACAAATAAAGCAAAATAAACAAAGCTGCATGACAGATGATCCCATGTAAGACAGAGTGTACAGGTAAGACCCAGCATGGGAGTGACTGGCAGAATGATAGCACATAAGACTTTTTCTGGGGGCACTTACCACAACATAAACACACTCTGAAATATCTGGGGTTACTGACTGCCCCAAGTCTGAGGTTCCCACTACTACAGCCTAAGCTCCATGACAACAAGGTCTCATCTGTCTCATTCACCATGGTATTTTCAGTGCCAGGAGCACAGGAGGATGTGGGGTAGTGAAGGGAGAGTCTGAGCTAATGATCTTGCAAGAAGGATGGAACCCTCACAAAAACAAGCTTTGGAGCTGCCAACTTGTGACAAAATTCTGCCCTTACTACTAGACTTGTTCAAGAGGTAGATCTGAACACCCCACTGACCGTGAAAACCCCCCAACCTGACCTGAAGCTCAGGATACTGTTTCCCTAAGATGGTAAAGAAATCTGTCCACTGCTTGGACAGAAGGCACGGGCATCTGTGCCCTCTGAAAGCCCTGGATAAAACAGGTCTTGCTCTCTTCTTGTGTTTGGTAGTACATGGAAAGAAAGTGGGCCAGAGCGCCTTTCCATAGTCATCATTGTACATCCCCCCAGCACTTCCCTAAGATGCAAGACACCTTTGTGATGGGCTGTCCCCCACATAGCACCCTCACTGCACTGGGGGCTCCTGGCGATGCTGGGTCTTCTGATGCCGGTTGAGGATGGACCTCTGGTTGAAGCTCCGCCCGCAGGCCAGGCAGTGGTAAGGCTTCTCACCCGTGTGGATCCTCTGGTGACGGACCAGCCTCTCCCCTTTGCTGAAGCGCTTCCCACACACTTGGCACCCATATGGCTTCTCACCAGTGTGAGTACGCCGGTGCACGGCCAGGTTGGCGTTCCTGCTGAAGCTCTTGCCGCACTCACATGTGTAGGGCTTCTCACCAGTGTGCGTCCTCCGATGCACCTGCAGGTGCTGCCTGCGGCTAAAGCTCTTCCAGCAGTCCCCGCACTTGTAGGGCTTCTCCCCAGTGTGGCTCCGCTGGTGGACCTCCAAGTGATGTCTCTGGCTAAAGGTCTTCCAACACTCATTGCACACGAAGGGCCTCTTTCCCAGGTGGGTCCTCTGATGCTTCATGAGGTACTCCCTCAGGGTGAAGCCCTTTCCACACTCCACGCAGCCATAGGACTTCTCCTCCTCATGGGTTCGCTGGTGTCTGACAAGATTGGAGCTCCGGCTGAAGCCTTTGCCACACTCAGGGCATTGAAAAGGCTTCCAGAAGGAGTCTTGGGTTTTGAGGTCATCAGGAAGGGGGATGCTGTGCTGGGAAGCAGGAAGCACTGGCAGGCCACTCCCAGAGCCCCTGGGCTCCTGTTCACAAGCTTGTCCCAGGACAGGACCCTGGACAGCCGTTTCTTCAAACCTCTCTGAGGTCAGCCCAGCAAGTGCCCCTTTGAGGTCTTCCTGCTGTGATTTTATCTCCTTTTCCTTGTTCCCAACACCTACAGGAGAACAGAGATCAAGACTGACTCGATGACAACTAGCAAAGAAAATTTACACATTTGAACTTTGCTTTCAAGGGCCAAGGATGTAACTCAATGGCACAGTGCTCACCTGGCAAACATGAGATCATGAGTTCAATTCCCGGTACAAAAAAAAAAAAATTGCTTCCATACACGTTCCATAATAGTTCCCTCTCTACTTTTCCCTAGACTAACAACCTCAACACCTTTCACCCCCCAGACCCCAAATTCATACCTTCCTTTACTTCTTCCCACCTCCCTGTCCTTTTACAGAAGAGTTGCCAAATTTTAACTTAACTTTCTGCTAATTTAGACTTTCATTCTCTTCAAAATCTAAGTCAGTGGTTTCCTAGTGATTCTCTTCCCTCACTTTTCTGCACTGACACACTCGGCTGATTCTGATTTATTCTGCACTTATTTATATGTGATGCTGCTCCAAACTAATTTACATTCATCAATATGTTCTGCCTTCCCCTAATGATTATAAAGCCACCCCAGTTACAGGACAGTAGTTTTTCCAAATTGTCAACCCTTATTCAGTGTCCCAGCCCTACATACACTGATCCTGCCACCTAACTAGGGATCACTGAATCTGGAAGCTGGAAGAAGACTCTGGGGAGATTCTTGCTAAGTGCTGGCTGAATGAATGAGCCCAGTCTCTCCCCATATCTCTAGCTGCACGGAACAACCACAATTTGACCTTTCTATCCTCATTCTGATCCCTTTCTTCCCCTCTAAATTAACTGTACAGTTGTTCACAGAGAGTAAGGAAAAGAGGAGGAAGAAACATGAAAAAAGGTGCTAGGGAACAAAGAACCCAAGAGAAAACAAAAACAACAAATGACAAGAAGGGCTTAAAGGAGGAGAGAGCTCTTTCAGGCAAAATCATATAAAAGAACCATAAAAAGAAACTGACATTACAGGCTCCCTGGCTGATAAAATATGAAGTACACACCATCACTTTTGATTTATGCTTCGTTTTATAAACCTTTCATAAGGCAAGAAAGAAGTACAAAACAAATGTAGAGCTCAAAGAATTTTCATAATAACAACCATGCAAACAGGCCATATTTTCTAGCTCAAAAACAGAAGAGTACAGATAGAGACAGTCTTACCTGGAGAGACCGCGCAGACCTGAGGCTCCACATACTCCCCAAAACAGTCAATCTGAGCTGGAGTCACATGTCTCCACTCCTCTTCAGGGAAGGTCAAGGCCATATCTTTAAAGGGTGTCAATCCCTGAAACAATACTGAGGATAAATAAGGATCCCTTATTGTTGCAGTCTAACAGTAACAGTGAACACAGAAAACGGACAGCTGAGCAGATTAAGAAGGCAGAAAGATCAGTACATGTAATACATCATACTACCAGAGCCAAGACAAAATAATATGATCATTTCAATAGATGCAGAGACACTTCGGGAGTACATGGCGGATAGATAACAGCAGCTATGGAGGCTCTATGAGATAGTCAGCTTAGAATCCAGGAATGGTGTGGTGTGAGGAGTCCTTAGCAAGGGGAGATATACCCTGCCGACCCAGGAACAAACTAAGCTGAGAGAAACCAACTGGAAATGCAATCCCGGTGCCATAACAGGAACAGATAAAATCTCAGCACCAAAGATGGAACCCACGTCTCTGGAAACCGCAATTTGAATTTCCTGAATCGGCATGGCAGGGACAGAGATGCAAAAACTCGGAGAGTGGGAATCGGCGAATGGAGTTGAGAGCGGGACTGCCGGGGAGCCCTGCATCGACCTTTGATGAGTGAGAGGAATGAGGACCCTTCATAGACTAGGAGGCTCCAACACAGGACATTCTGGGACCAGGCAGACTAGCTGGAACAGGACGCTGCAGTGACTTTAGTTGCATGTTGCCCTCTCAAGTGGGATTGATGGGGAGTGCTTGGCCTGGGTGACGCCGCGGACTAAGACCCAGTAGGCTAGCCCAAACCAGGTCCCAGTGCCTGGTGGTGCACCCTAGCAGTGAAGCCTTCAGTAATTGGACCTGGAGGGGTGGGCCCAGCAGAGGCTGCCCAGGTCTGTGTCTCCCTAGTACACTGCAGTGGGCAGGAACACCTAGCCAGTGTGATTCAAACAAACTGTAACTGACAAAGAAAGAAACTGGGCCTCCTATATACGCCTGTATGGAAAGAACAAAAAATATGAGAAGAGGAGGTAACAAGAAAGGGTCCTCGGTCCCCAAACCTGAGAACACTGATCCAGGAAAGGTAAATGCAAAGGAGAATGAGGACAGAAAACATGCAATATCAGACACAGCACCAACAGACATAAAGTGATATCTCTGGAGCCTCATAGTGAGTTCAAAAGTGAAGGACTTAACGAAGTAAAGCAAGATAAGATATAAGTAGAATAGTTAGACAAATGCTAAGCACCACCCAAGAAAAAACAGATGGTGGAATGGAAGAATAGAAAAAAAGGGGACAATTGTTTGATGGAGAAAATAGAGAAAACATAGAATATGTGAAGCAGTTTCAAAGAGATTACCAGGAAATCAAAAACTCTATTGAAAGCTGGCATAACAGCTTGAAAGAAACTAAGGATAGATTATCTGAACTGGAGGACAGATTAGTAAGGTGGGAGCATGAAATTAAAAACTTCTTAAAAATAACAAGGAAACGGACTTCCGGGAGAACATGGTGGACAGATAGCAGCAGCTACAGAGCCTCTCTGAAAGACCCAGCTTAGAATTCAGGAATGGTGCGGAGTAAGGAATCATAAGCAAGTGGAGATATGCCCTGCTGACCCAAGAACGAACTGGGCTGAGAGAAACCAACTGGGAATGCAATCCTGGTGCTATAACAGGAACAGAAAAGCCTCAGTGCAGAAGCTGGGGCCTGCACCATTGGAAGCCACGATTTGGGTTTCCCGCTGCCACTGCTGCGTCTACATCCGCTCGGCAGGGAGAGAGACGAGCGAAAGCTCTGAGAACAGGAATCGGTGAACGGAGTTGAAAGCAGGACAGGCGGGGAGCTGTGCATTGACCTGCGGTGAGAGAAACTGGGACTCTTCCACGGTCTAGGAGACTCCAACAGAGGACATTCTGGGACCGGACAGACTTGCGGGAACAGGGCGCGGCAGTGACTTCAGTCACATATCCCCCTCTCAAGCGGGATTGGTGAGCAGTGCCTAGCCTATGTGACGCTGCTGGCTGAGACCCAGTAGACTAGCACAACCCAGATCCCAGCGCCTGAAGGTGACCTGGAGGGGCGGGCCCCGCATAGGCTGCCTGGTCTGCAACTTCCTGGTGCGCTGCGGTGGGCAGAAACACCTAGCCAGCACAATTCAATCAGACTGTGGCCAACAGGGAAGAAAGCTGGGCCTCCTATATACGCTTGCATATATAAGGAATAAAGAATACGGGAAGAGGCAGCAACAAGAAAGGCTCCTCGGCCCCCAATTCTGAGAAAGAAGCAATAGCAGACACAACACCAATAGATATAAAGCGCTATCTCCAGAGCCTCATAGACAAGTTCAGGAATGAAGTTATTAATGACCTGAAGCTAGACATAAGCAGAATAGTTAAAGAAATGCTAAGCACCACCCAAGAAAAAAACAGATGGTGGAATGGAAGAACAGAAAAAGAGGGGAGAATTGTTTGATGGAGAAAATAGAGAAAGCATAGAATATGTGAAGCAGGTTCAAAGAGATTACCAGGAAACAAAACTCTATCGAAAACTGGCATAACAGCTTGAAAGAAACTAAGGACAGATTATCTGAACTGGAGGGCAGATTTGTAATATGGGAGCATGAAATGAAAAACTTCTTAAAAATAACAAAGAAACAAACAGCAATAATACAAAGACTAGAAGATGATAAGAGGATCTATAACTTAAGAATTAAGAACATAAAAGAAGAAGTAGGGACACAAACAAATGAACTACAAAAGCTACTCACAGAAATAATCCAGGAGAATTTTCCTAATTTAGCAAAAGGTAAAGATACTCAGTTGTATGAAGCATACAGGACCCCAGCCACCTACAACCCAAACAGAGCAACACCCAGGCATATAATAATTAAAATTCCAGAAATCCAATACAAGAACAGAATGTTAAAAGCCGTCACCTGAGACAAGAAACAGATCACTTACAAGGGAACACCCATCAGAATTAAAGCAGATTTCTCGGCACAAACCATCAAATCACGAAGAGCGTGGGGGAAAATAATTCAAGCTTTGAAAGATAATAATCTCCAGCCAAGATTGATATATCCTGCACAACTATCCCTGGAAATTGATGGAAAAACAAGTGCTTCCAGGATAAAGAGGAACTAGGAGAATACGCAACCACCAATTCAACTCTACAGAGAATACTGTAGGATATTCTAAAAAAGAAAAATACGAAGAATCTAGAAATAGTGGCAGAGAGGCCACAATGAATGGAGCAGAAAACAAAATGAAGAAGACAAACTGACGACTAATGACAGAAAAAGAGCTAAACAGAAATGAGGCAGAGAAGATTGGGTGATAGGAACAGCTATTTTGGAGAAAATGATTTCTTAATAGGTAATACTGATTTAGTATCATCTTGTTTTGAAATCTCATCAAGCTTTTGTTCTTCTGTCTCCATTGGTCTAAACAGGTTGTATCTTATTGGATTTTATTATGTATGATAGTATAAGCAAAAACTTTTATAGACAAGGAGATTATACAGAAACCATTGTTCATTTTCTGTTAGTTGATTCTAAATACCCTGTAATACTGTCATTCTCTTAAATGGTTTTACATTGTTTTGATATATTTGATGCTACAGTATACGAAGTTATACTCAAAGATTTCAAGGAAAGAGACAATATGGTAGCTACTTTTATGTTGGGATTATATTGTGGTGAAACACTATTTTGCTTAAATGGTTATGTTTTGATCTGCGCTATTTTGCTGTTATGCCCTCTTTTATCTCAATCTCCATTTTATTATTTACTTTTTTATTTTTATCCTTTTAATTAAGGGAAAAAAAATAAAAAATAGCAGGATAAATTACAGTAACCCACTTTGACTTTCCATTATCTTGATTTAAAGCCCTGTATTGCTCTCACCATCTTGTTTTGACTGGTGTCCCTCTATTCTATTTTGCTTGATAGTACCAGGTTCGAAAGTTTAGGCAACAGCTGTGAAGATAGTGGGATTCATTATGACACCCATTCTGGTTGACTATTATCTACTTTTGAAGACCTGTAATGTCTCCAATGTTTTGGTTTTGTTGGTTTTGTTCTTTACTGTTTTGTTCAAATTTATTATAACTGATGATATAGGCAATTCTATTAGAGATAGCAGGAGGCATTATGGTAACCACTGTTGATCACCTTGTATTATGCTTTTACATTATCTATTATGTCCACCTTTTTGATTTGACTGACTCTGTTCTGTTATGCCACATTTGGTTCTACTCTCTTCCAAAAAAGTAATAAGAACTGTGGGAGCAACAAAACCCAAAATGTGTAATTGTCATTGTACAAAAGAGAGGAAAAGAAAGTGCTCTAAACGATATAACTGCATGTATATTTAAGTGTATAAGATAGATAATGATATTACTGAGTTTTGTTGGATCATTGAACAGGACTGTTTGCAGTATCACTGTTGGAATGTCCACTTTATAAGCTTTAATTTTGTAACTTGAACAACTATTTCTAAGATGACAATATGTAATCCATTAACTAGTGATTTCCTACTGTTTATTTTTTTCTGTAAATCTGTATAACTTGTATCCTTTCTCTGCTTTTTTTTTCTCCTTAAATAAAATTTAAAAAAAAATAATAATACAAGGCTAGAAGATGATAAGAGGATCTATAACTTAAGAATTAAGAACGTAAAAGAAGAAGTAAGGACACAAACAAATGAACTATAAAGGCTATCCACAGAAATAATCCAGGAGAATTTCCCTAATTTAGCAAAAGATACAGATACTCAGATGTATGAGGCATGCAGGACTCCAGCCACCTACAACCCAAACAGAACACCACCCAGGCATATAATAATCAAAATTCCAGAAATCCAATATAAGAACAGAATGTTAAAAGCCGTCAGAGACAAGAAATAGATCACTTACAAGGGAACACCCATCAAAATTACAGCAGACTTCTCAGCACAAACCATCAAATCACGAAGAGCTTGGAAGGAAATAATTCAAGCTTTGAAAGATAATAACCTCCAGTCAAGATTGATATATCCTGCACAACTGTCCCTAGAAATTGATAGAAAAACAAGGTGCTTCCAGGATAAAGAGGAACTGGGGGAATTTGCAACCACCAATTCAACTCTACAGAGAATACTGCACAATATTCTAAAAAAGAAAAATACCAAGATTCCAGAAACAGTGGCAGAGAGGCCACAATGAATGGAGCACAAAGTGAAATGAAGTAGACAAACTGACAACTAATGACAGAAAAATAGCTCAACAGAAATGAGACAGAGAAGGTCGAATGGTAGGAACAGCTATTTTGGAGAAAACAAGACATAATAGGTAGTGCTGATTTAATATCATCTTGTTTTGAAGTCCCATCAAGCTTTTGTTCTTGTGTCTCCATTGGTTTTAACATGTTGTATCTCATTGGATTTTATTATATGTGATAATATAAACAAAAACTTTTATAGACAAGGAGATTATACAGAAATCATTGTTCATTTTCTGTTAGTTGATTCTAAATACCCTGTAATACTGTCATTCTCTTGAACGGTTTTACATTGTCTTGATATGTTTCATGATACAGTATATGAAGTTTTACTCAAAGATTTCAAGGAAAGAGACTATGGTAACTACTTTTATGTCAGGATATCTTGTGAAACACTATTTTGCTTAAATGGTTATGTTTTGACCTGTGCTGTTTTGGTGTTACGTCCTCTTTTATCTCAATCTCCTTTTTTTTTATTTACTTTTTATTTTTATCTTTTTAATTAAGGGAAAGTAAATTAAAAATAGCAGGATATATTATAGTAACCCACTTTGATTTCCTATTAACTTCATTAGAAACCCTGTATTGGTCTCACCATCTTGTTTGGACTGATTTTCCTCTATTCTGTTTTGCTTGATAGTACCCAGTTTGAGAGTATAGTCAACAACTGTGAAGACAATAAGATTCATTATGACGCCCATTCTGGTTTGACTATTATCTTCTTTTGAAGTCCTGTAATGTCTCCAATGTTTTGGTTTTATTGGTTTTGTTCTTTACTGCTTTGTTCAATTTTATTATAACTGATGATATAGGCAATTCATTTTAAGATAGCAATAGGCATTATGGTAACCATTGTTGATCACCTTGTGTTTTGTTTTTACATTATGTATTATGTCCATCCTTTTGATTTGACTGACTCTGTTTTGTTATGTCACATTTGGTTTTATTCTCTTCATAAAAAGTAATAAGAACTGTGGGAGTAATAAAACCCAAAATGTATAATTGTCATTGTACAAATGAAAGGAAAAGAAAGTGATCTAAAGGATATAACTGCATATTTAACTGTATACTTAAGTGTATGAGATAGATAACCATATTACTGAGTTTTGATGGATCACTGAACAGAACTGTTTGCAGTCTCACTGTTTGTCCACTTTATATGCTTTAATTTTGTAACTTGAACAACTATTTCTAAGATGATAATATGTAATCTATTAACTAGTGATTTCCTACTGTTTATTTTTTCTGAAATTCTGTATAACTTGTACCATTTTTCTGGGTTTTTTTTTCTCCTTAAATAAAATTTAAAAAAATAGATGCAGAAAAAGTTTTTGACAAAGTCTAGCACCCATTCATGATTAAAATCCTACAAAAAAATTGGAATAAATGGTCTTTATATCAATCTGATAAAAGCCATCATGCAAATCAACAGCCAACATCATACTAAATGGAGAAAAACTGAGAACTATCTCTCTAAAATTAGGAACAAAATAAGGATGTCCTCTGTCTCTACTCTTATTTAACACAGTCCTGGAAACTTTAGCTGGAGTGATTAGACAAGAGAAATAAATAAAAGAAAAAAAGAGAGGAAAGGAAGAAGTTAAACTACTGTTATTTGCAGATGACACGATACACTCCATAGAAAGCTCAAAAAATTCCAGCAAAAGACTACTAGAGTTAATAAGCCAATTCAGTAATGTTGCTGTTACAAAGTCAACATTCAAAAATCCACAGCCTTCCTATACATGAGTAACTCACTGAGAAAAAAACCAGGGAAACAACACCTTTCGCAATAGCATCCAAAATAATGAAATACCTAGGAATCAATCTAATAAAGGATGTAAAAGACCTCTACATTGAAAGCTACAGTACTCTGAAAAAGGATATTGAAGAGGTTATTAGAAAATAGAGAGATATCCCGTGCTCTTGGGTAAGAAGAACCAATATAGTGAAAATGGCCATACTTTCAAAACTGTATAAATGGATTCAATGCAATTCCAATTAAAATTGCAATAGTATATCTCATAGCATTAGAGAAAAGAATCCAAAAATTCATCTGAAACCTAAAGAGACCTAGAATAGCAAAAGCAATCGTAGGCAACAAAGGCAAGGCAGGGGCACCCACATCTCCAATTTGAAATTACACAATAAAGCTAATGTGATTTAAAAAAAAAAAATAGCATGGTACTGGCAAAAAAAAAAAAAACAGACATGAAGATCAGTGGAACAAATTAGATGTTGCAGAAACAACTCCATACATACTAAGCCACTTATCTTTAACAAAGTTACCAAACACATTCACTGGAAGAAAGATAGCCTCTTTAATAAGGGGTTCTGGAAAACCTGGCTATGCACATGTTTAAGATTAAAGTTGGACCCCTATCTTTTACCATGCACTAATCTAAACTCAGAATGAATCCAAAATCTTAATATTAAAACAGAAACATTACACATGCTGGAAGATAGAGTAGGTAGAACTCTTAAAGACACTGATATAGGCAAAGACTTTATGAACAAAACCCCAACTGCACAGAAGCGATCACAAAGAATCAACATTTGGGATTTCATCCTATTGAGAAGCTTTTACACAGCAAGAAAAACCACCAACAGAATAAAGAGACAACCCACTCTGTGAGAGAAAATATTTCCCAGTTGTTTCTCAGACAAAGAATTACTGTCAAAAACATATAAAGAACTCAAAAAAATAAAAAAAATCAGTCCTCCCAGATTTAAAAACTCAATCCAAAAATGGGCATTTGAGATGAACACACACTTCTCAGATGAAGAAGCATAAATAAACAGCAAATAAATATATGAAAAAATGTTCAACATCACTGGTCATTCACGAGATGCAAATTAAAGCAACACTGAGATTGCACCTCCCCTCAGAAAGAATAGCTATTGTCAAGAAATCAACCAATAACAAATGATGAAGGAACTGTGAAGAAAAAGGAACCCTTCTCCATTGTTGGTGGGAGTGTAAACACTGTGGAAATCAGTGTGGATATTCCTCAAAAAACTAAGATTAGAGGTTTCATTTGACCCAGCTATTCCCCTTCTGAGTATTTTCCCAGAAGAATTGAAAATATCATACTGCAGTGATATATGTGCATCCTTGTTTATAGCAGCACAATTTGTAATAGCCAAATCTTGGGAACAACCTAAAATTCCCATTGACTGAGAAATGGATAAAAAAAGGTGGTATTTTTATACAATGGAGTATACTCATCCATACAGAAAGACTTTTATAGGTAAATGGATGCAACTTGAATCCATATTCGTTCATAGTTAAATAAATCAGACATGCATGTATAAGCATCATACTATTTCACTAGTGTGAGAAGCTGAAATTGTGTGTGTGTGTATGTGTGTGTGTTAAGATAGTTATACCACTGATTTCCTAAGTTCATTAACAAGAAAGGTTTTTGCTGACACCATTCAGACAACTGAATGCAGATGCTATGTGCTCTGGCTAACTGATTTGGGGATGGCAATGTGCAACGTATGTACCATTGTTGTCCTCTGATTGTTGTGTTTTGAAATTTTATTTATTTTTTTTTCTTTGAACTAAAATGGAAAAAAAAAAAAGGAAGGCAGAAGGAATCTGTCACTGAATAGTCTGGGACCAGAACCATTCATCTCTCCACAATTTAAGGGAAAGCAATTGGGGTTTTTTGTTTGTTTGTTATGAGACAAAGTCCCACTACATAGTTCAGACTGACCTTGAATTCACTGGGTAGCCCAGGTGGGTCTTGAACTCGAGCACTCCTCCTACCTCTCCCTCCTGAGTGCTGGAATTGCAGCCACCATACCCAGTTTAGGAGAAAGCAATTGATTTCTCTAATCCCTGATGCTGTGGCACTGCTCGCTTCCAACAACCCCAGCATCATGTCAGCTCAGTCACCTGCACTTGCCCCTCAAGTATCAAAGCAACTGGGAATTGCCTTGTGTCCCTCAAGGCTTATCTTAAAGAACAGAACCATATTAGAAGAAATACATTCTCATTTTCTTATTCACTACACCATAAAGAACCACTCCAGCAACAGGAAGATCCGGCACAATGAAAAGACTGGACATCATTCCTCATTCCCTGCAAACTATGTTCTTAGAAAACAGGAATGGGGACTGGAGTGGGCATCAAACCTTGCTCAACTATGGCTTTGCCTTACCTTGCTTTTTTTCTACCAATTAATGCCTTTCTTCATCAAGCTCTTTTAAGACCATTCCCTTTCAGATAGGTACCCCTCTAGGAGCCCACTTTCCTGGTAGCACTCAGCACTCTGTGGAAGATGTTTAAACTGTGGCAGGAGTGGCCATCTGTATCCTCATTACCCCCAGGTGAGGCAGGTTTGCAAGTGCTACCAAGGACCCAACTCCCAGACTTGCAAATGAGGGCCTGAAAACACTGTCCAGCATGCCAAAAGCCCCACCCTTGACCAGCTCCCTCTCACTGACATCACCACAAAAGAAGCAGCAACAGAAGCAGCCACAAAGGGAATCATCTCTGGGGCAATCACTGGAGCCAACACATGCCTATCAAAACTTTCTCATTGTCTTCCTCTTCACAATGATAATGAGAAATACCACTGTATCACTCTATGACCTGGGCTAGGAATAAGGCTCAGTGCAGATTAACAACTGGAAGATGGTACAACACAGAACTAGCAAGAAAGTTATTTAACTCTGTGGATGGCATTCTGCTATGCAGGGAAGCCACATCTCTGTCAAAACATCCTGACTTCCAAGATGGCAGTCACAGCTCACCTGTGATCCTGATGCAAGGAACCCAGCTGCCATCTCTTGGTCTCTGGTGCCCACAGCAGGGAGGCTGGGACCAGCCTGAAGAATCGACAGTGCTGAGGAAAGGACAAAAAGCAGGAAAAAGATTAACACAGTCATCAGTCTGCCCACTCAAGAGGCATCCCCACCCAACACGCAACCTCAGTCTACAGACTTTAGATAGAATCACTTTGGAGCCACACAGACCCCCAGAGCAATCTAGATGTCCCCTGCCCTACACTCAGCTGGGGAAACAATCCCAGCCTTGTCTCTCCAGGGATATTCATGTTCCCTGGCCATACTTGGAGATAATCTCCTTTAATTAATTAACAGAAGAAAATCCCACATTATTTGAGACATGTGGTTTGCTCACTTAGTAAATATTCCAACTTGTCAGCTACATGGCTCTAGTTGTTTCTATAAGAGATGTGCAAGAAAGGTGAAGAAATGTTAAGAGAACATGATTCCCTAGTCATACCCTCCAGAAGTCAGAACAGAGGTAGAGAAAATTTCATCTGTGTCCTACTGAGGTCAACTGAGGAAAATTCAGAATTACACCATGCAGGAGAGAGTTTATCCTCTACTGAGTTTCTGAAGCAAATGAGTGGGAGAGTGGCTGAGAGTAGTGTTCCAAACCTTCCACCTTTGCTGTCTGCATCTTACCCTGCTCCTGGAAGGCCTGCGTCCCATCTCCAGGGTTCTGACTCAGTTGCTCCTTGGTGCTCTGGTCTAAGCCTTGAACTCCTTCCTCATGGGGCATCCCCCACTCAGGCTTGATATCCACTGGCCCCAGGTGGACATTTGGCTCCCAAGTACCTCTGCCAATGGCTGTCTCCTGCTGCTCTCCCTGCATATGGCATGGAACCTAAGAACAGTTCCCAACACCAATTAGAATGAGGCTTGGTGAAGACTACTATGAAGGGAACTGAACTAAACCCTAAAGAGAAAACTAAGAAAAGAGCCATGCTGGCTTTAGGGAAGTGGAAAGAAAAGCCAGCTGAGCTTTTCTCAAGGACATCAGTGAGGAGGTAAAACAGAGGTTAAAATCCCTTTTGCAGGTCCTGAGCAACCTGTATCTGTTCATTCCATTTGACAAGGCTCCTTCTGTTTGCCTTAACACTAATCAAATTTCCCACACCATCACAGGGTCCAAATACTGTCGTGCTGAGTACTTTAGCACTCTACATTCATCACTAGAAAACAAATTTTCCCGGCTTGGAAGCTGAAATTTTAAAAATGCAAAGTCCATACTTTGCAGTGAATTAGACAGTGAGGAACAGCTACTCTATATAAAGCAAGGACAGCCAGGAGGCCTCCCATGTGAGACACACTCATAAAACCAAGACCCTTCCTCATCAGCTCTTAGGCTCCTGAGTTGGGAGTAGAAAACAAATTCTCCCAGGATTCTACAGGGAGACAGGGAGCAAGGGATGATGGCAATATGGGAGGGAGGCCAGACTACAGACTGCCTGGGATTTGCCCTCTTTTCCTGGCCCTCAGTCAGGTGACTACACCACAGAGTGATGGAAACACAGCCAGTCTCGAGACAGCATCTGTGGTGTAGTCATCTGGTGTCATCAGAATAGCATCACATAAGTCAGTGTCCCAGACATGGAAACAGCACAACCATGGATAACTCATAGGAAGAGTATTTACCAAGTAGGATTCCCACATTCCTACAGGCAGCTCCCCCAAAGTGGGACTGGTTCTACAGAAGGCCCTGAAAACAATCTCGACAGCCTTCTGTGGACAAGAAGCTCAAGAAGGAAATAGGAACAGGCCTCTCCCTGATGCCCAAAGATTTCAGGCCCTGCACACCAGCATCTTCCCTAGGAGCAGCTTCTCTTGCTTAAAACACCACTGCTCTCAAAGAATTTGAGAGCAAAAGAGGTTCTATACCTCATCTATTCCCACTGCTTCTTCAAGCCTCTTCACTCTTTAATTCTCACACCATCAGCACAAGACCCAGACACCCTCTTCTCACCCACCGCCTTGGTATCCAGCATGTTGTCAGTCAAGTCCTCCACCATAGCCACCAGGGCCTTGCCGCTTTCCGGGCTGTGTTCTCGAATCCAGGCATAGAATTCCCGGGGCAGGATGGTGAGGAACTGCTCCAGCACTAGCAGCTCCAGGATCTGCTCCTTGGTGTGCAACTCAGGCCGCAGCCACCGACGACACAGCTCTTGGAGCTCCCTGAGGGCTTCCTGGGGACCTGCTGCTTCCTGGTAACGGAACTGTCGAAACCTCAGACGGAAAGTCTCAGGACTAGAATCTTCCTGGCCCCTGCCCCACAGCAACTCTTTTTCCAGTTTCACCACAGGAACACTCATTTGATGCTGAGGATCTTCCGCCATCCCAGGACGCTCTTTAAGCATCTTCACACTCCCTCCCCAAAGACTGAAGATAACAGAACAAATGAGCCTTTTGAGAACATGAAACATACAGAAGGTTGGTCCTGTGTCTACACTAATGAATATTCTGCTGGAGAACACAGTAATAACCTGCTATGAGGTATTTTTTCAAAATGCTGAACATATTTCCTGATGTCCATGTCATTTAAAAACAGTATTTACTAAATGCCTATTAGGTACAGAAAATCCTTAAATTTTATCACCCACAAATAGCTGAGGAGATAATTCAGATAACTCTACAACAGGAAATAGTATAAAATGGGTTAACATGTAGTACCCACTCTTTCAACACTAAAGGACACATACATTTAACATATATAAACACACAGTCATATAATGCATAACATTATATGACAGTGGTCCCATAAGATTGTAACAGAACTGAAAAATTCCTATCATCTAGTATCACAATTGATAATATACAACTATGCTACTGGCTTAATATTTACTATGCTTTTAATCATTACTCCTTCTACTTATTAAAAAGTTCACTGTAGGGAGCAGGGATTTAGCTTAGTGGCACAGCACCTGCATAGCAAGCCTGAGGTCCTGAGTTTGATTACTAGTAACCACCCACCCCAAAAACAGTTCAGTGTAAGACAGTATACTCTGTTTTGCCAATAGCAGCCTTATACAGTACTGTACTTCTTGACTGTATCACAAGGCCATGTTAATTAACCTAGACCATCTAGGTAAGTGCACTCAATGGTGTCTACACAACGCATTTCTCAGAACATATCCTTATCATTGAGCAAAGCACGCTTCTCTGTGTGGGTGTGGGTGTGTGTGTGTGTGTGTGTACCCTCTCAAACATGTAGAGAAACTAGTGCTTGCCCTCTTGAAATTCATACTAATGTACCCAACAGAAAAAGTAAATATGAGCAAGTACATAACAACTGGTCTGTTAGTGGGCCCATGGATTTGATAAGATTTTTATGAAGACATGATACTTAGCCCAAAAATTAAAGGAAGATTCTGTAAGCCAGTCATTCCAAGAGTACTCCAGGAAAAAGTCTTAGATTAGAAATTACTTTGCATGACTTGGAATGTGATAGTGTGCTCAGCAGGAAGACAATGAAGCCAAAGTCTGCCTCCCAAAAATACATAATATATAAATATAGACAGGTATATATAGATATATAGATATAGATTAGATATATAAAACACAAGAAATTTAAAAACGAAAATGATCAATGCAATGTAAATTCAAGTATTCCTCAGGAAGGGGCTTGTGGTAGACACAAGGTGAGTCCCATTTACCCCCATGGGGGAGGGGGATGCCCCCAGGGAGGATGGAGGTTAAGGAGACAACCCTTAGTCCAAAAATCATCCTGTTTCAGAGAATGAAAAACTGGTAAAAGGCATGCCCCAAACTTCTGCTAAATATTCTATTAGGTGTTTGTGTATTTACCCACACACGGCACCACTTAAATCGACTTTACATTTTCAGTCTACGGGATCCATTTTCTCTGTTACATGAAGATTTCTCTTTTATGACTTTCTAGCTGTTGCATCTGCTCATCCCACCAGTGCATTTAGTGCACTGTAGTGCCAATGTTTACCACTGTCTCCGTTCACCAGATTCCCTTTTAAGCAAGAGAGGTCTTCATCCTTCATCTCCAGCACCGGAGACTGAAGGTGCCGCGAGCCTATTTTTTAAATGACTGTACTACGTCTTGTTCTATAATGATTACTTTCACTTTTTTCTAAGAGTTCCGCATCAGTTTAAAATCTTGGGTTCGCGGACGTCCTGAGTTTCTTAGGCCAAGCCTGGCGAGGCGAGATGAACCTCACTCCTACCTGAGCCTACAGAGGCGCGGCCGTCCGAGTCGCCACCCGCAGGGCCTTGTCCCACAGCCGCACCACAGCCCGACCCCGTAGACAGCCAAGAGCCGCGACCGCAGCCCGCCTGGCAGGCTCTCACCACGTACCCGCGACCCTTTAGACCAGCAACCGCGCCGATATCCTGAGTCTTCCGCGGACAGGAAGTGAGTGGCGGACGCGGTCAGACAGGTGCGCAGGAAGAAGTTTCCTTCCGTCTCCTCTCTAGGATTCTCGGAGGTCTCAGAGGTGCATCTCGATGGTCTCTTGTTGTCTCCAGGGCTGACTGTCCCCCTAGAGGCTCTTCGTTGCTGGTGCCTGTCTACTTCAGTGCCTTTCCCCGTTTTTTCTCCGTGAAGATTAGACAAAGGCGCCATTCTAGAAGCTAAAAGTCTGTCCAGACGCCTTGTGCACAGCGTACTGTGAATAATGCACTGTGCGAGGCTTTGGGGAGAGAGCTGATGGAAGCAGTCCGGGGCAGTATGGGTTCACATAAGAGGGGCTTGGGCCCCGTGTGAGTGTTTGTGCATGTGCGTAGTAATCAACGAAGACTTCCTAGAGGAATGAGTCCCTGCGTTAAGTTGTGAAGGGCAAACCCAAAATGCCTTTACTAGAGAAAACATGGCAAGGCCAGAAAGTGCAAAGAGGCACTTCTCCTCCGCCAGAGCCACCTAGAAAGCCAGCTACATGGCCTACCACTCGGCTTGGGTAGATTTGTGAAAGATGCTGTAGAGAAACCCTGGAGAAAGACTGACCAAGAGGGGAGGCAGGTCAGGAACTGAGACGACTAACTCATCAAGCAGGAAGAGGTTAAATAGAGTAGTCCAGGAGAGAGGATGAGAGACAACTGGAGCAGTCTATGAGATTAGGGTTTGCAAGGAGGGTTTAGAGGTGAAACTGTTTGGGAGGCAAAACTGAGGATGGTGGAGGATTGAGGAAGATGGGAAAGATGGAGTCATTTAGTGAATAACAAAGAGACATCTCTTAACAACAGACTTCCATAAAACAGAAATCCCATTGATCATCTGGAAAGATACAATATTGGGTCCATATCTTGCACCACAGGCTGGTGCAAATGGTGCTCCAAATGGCGCAAAATGAGGCTTTAAATGGATTAAAGATTAAAATATAAAACTTGAAATTTTTATGGGTCAAAAGAAAGCCAGGTGTGGTGGCTCACACCGATAATCCCAGAACTCAGGAGGTTGAGGCAGAACCATCTCCATGAGTTCACAACCAACCTGGGGTACCTAGTGAGTTCAAGGCCAACCTGAATGACATAGTGAGACCCTGTCTCAAAAACAGAGTAAAACTAATAGTAACAATAATTTAATTTAAATATAGTGTTCAAAGGAAAGAATTATTTTATAACCTTGAAAGGAGAAAGTTCATGCTAATTATGCCTTAAATCCAGGTGTTGGAAAAACCAAATTTTACTGTATCAATATCAAAAACTTGTGCTCAGAAAAATATCAAGCAAACTGAAAAAACAAACTATGGAGAAAATATATCACAGGTAAAGGTTTAATTTCACTAATAGATGAATAGGAAAAAACACAAAGAGCTGCTAAACACATAAAAATATACTCAATTTTACACATAAGAAATGCAGATTAAAATAGAGTAGGATACCATTTCTTACCTATCCAATATTTTTTAAATCCAAAAGATCAACATACTCTCTCGATAAAACTGTGGGAATTTTTCAAAATTATAAAAGATTTACTCTTTGACCCAGGAAGGAAATCCTGTGAACTCATCCTATAGACATATATGCACATATATGTACAGGGTTTCTCATTGCAGCATCGGGGCACTGCAAAAGAGTAGAAACAACTCATGAATATCCAGTCTTTTATCAATGAGTCCATGAGTTGTTTCCATTCTTTTGCAGTACATCAATGCTGCAAAAAGACTGGATAAACAATAATACATCCACATAATACAGTACTATGCTGAAAGATATATCAAGATATATTAAAATAAGTAACAAAAGCAAGGTGCTGAAAGTGTCTCTAATGTACATAGTTGTCAAGATTGTAATGTGTATATTTAGCTAATGTATATGATAGAAGAAATAAGGACATTTTCTTGTTTCACCTCCAAGAAACTCAAAGTGACCTTATCTAAATGTCACCTAGATGGTTCGGTTCTGAAATGTCTCAGGAAGGCCTGTGTGTTAAAGTCTTGGTCCACTTGGTGCCCTTGGGAAGTGGTAGAATGTTGAAGAGGCAGAGCATGGTGGGAGGTCGTACAGTCATTGGTGCTGTGCATCTGAAGAGGTTAATGGTGACCTAGCCCCTTCCTCTTCCTTGCCTTGCTTCTGGGTGTCATGAGGTGAGTAGCTTGCTCCATAACACACTTCCCACCATAATGTACTGCCTTACTACAGGCACAAAAGCAATGCAGCCAATGACCCATGGGCTGGAACCTCCAAAACTAGGAGCCAAAATTAACATTTTTGGCCAGACATAGTGGCACATGCCTGTAATTCCAACATTTGGGAGGCTGAAACAGAAGGATCATTGTGAATTCAAGCCTGGGTTACCATGTGAGCTCAAGGCCAGCCTGAACTGCATAGTGAGACCTTTCTCAAACAAATAAAAAAATATTTTTAAAACATTCTCTACTATAAATTTATTATCATAGATATTTATTACAGTAATGGAAATCTGACTAATATACTTAGGAAGCAAAAAATAATTACATATAGTAATAGAAACACATACATAGACAAGCAAAACAAGAGAAAGCATTCTTAATGTATGCCCATTTATAATGCTTAATTTTGTATAATATGGATATATTTATGAACTTCTAAAAATTAAATGTAACTTTTAAAATGTCATGCCTGGGGTCCTACTTTAATTGACTGAGAAATAGGAGGGATGTAGGTTGGGAGATGAGCAGGTGCTATAACCTGAGTTAGAGAAAACAGGAGGAGGTGACGCTTGAAGATAAAAATAATTAATTGGTTTAGTTTGAGATATATTAAGTTTGACATGCCTCCATTTGTTAGGGAAAAAGATGTTGTGAGAAAGTCTGGGAAAATTTGAGGTAGAGATATAGAAATGATTAATATTTCAATAGGAGTTTACACCAGATTACTAGAGGAGTTTGCCCAAGGACAGATCTGCACAGGGTGCACTGATGTAAAGAATGTAGAGGTGACATGCCTGAAATTGCTCAAGTAGTTTGGGAGAGGAGTGGGGTTCATTATGTTTGACCTAAGACTGTCTCTGTACTCGGGTGATAAAATTTGCAAGCAAAGCTGGCACCTTATGTAATGAACTGCAACCTACCTTGGTATGCAAACAAACTGAAAATTAACTTAAGTCTTTTCATGTAACAGAAAGCTGAATCTCAGCCAGTTACAGCAGCCAGCAACAGCTAACCACAGACACCAACTGATCAGACCATATCCATATAAGGCAAATATCTCCTCATACTATACCCATGTAAGGCAAATGCTGATTACAGATAATCAGGATTTTTCTGTATGCCACTTCCTTTTTTCTGGCTGTAAATATAACTTGCTCTGTGATCAGGTGAGCCATTCCAAACCAAACTTAGCCTGGAATGCTGCCAGGTTAAAATCTTTTCTTGCTCAAATAACCTTTGTTAAATTTAACTCACCTTGGAATTTTGTTTAACAAACTGGTCAAATGTTTCAGGCCAAAATAGCACTCTCTTTTGCATTAAACTATTAGGTATTCTTTTGCCAAAGTAATTTTGAGGCCGTATGAGGGCAGAAATTAGACTGAGGAAGTAAAATCACATGTAGAATTCTCTTCCAAGAAGTTAACCAAAGAGAAGAAGGAGAAAGAAACAAGGTAGAGGAGGCAGAAGGGGAGGAGAAAGAAAGAAAGAAAGAAAGAGAGAGAGAGAGAGAGAAAGAAAGAAAGAAAGAAAGAAAGAAAGAAAGAAAGAAAGAAAGAAAGAGAGTTAAGCGCCTGCCTGGCAAGTGCGAGGTCATGAGTTCAATCCTTGATACTGCAAAAAAAAAAAAAAAAAAAGATAGAAAGAAAAATGAGACAAAAAATAGGTATTCTCAACTCAGCTGTTTCTTGAAAATCCTACTTATTTTTTCAAATGAAAAACTCCCAAATAACCCTTCCCCACTACTGCCACCATCACTTATTATCCATCCAAGGCTCAGCATTTATCTTAAAGAGAATAAAACCTAACAAAATAAAACAGACTAAAGCAAATCAAAACAAAACAATGAAAGCAGTACAGCACTTCAAAACAGGATAATAGGAAATCAATAATGGCTACTATATTATATCTTATCTTCACAATAGTTGTCCATACCATCAGACATAGTAAAATCAAATGAAACAAAACAGAATAAAACTTGTAAATACAAGACAGAAGGAAATCCCCCATATTTGCTATATTGCATACCATTATCCTCCTAATAGATGCTCAGACTTCCAGCCTTAGACCTGAAAAGTCAATCAAATAATACAAACATTTAGTTGTTTTTGTACCTCAATTGCTATCAACTCAGCCTGTCCTCCAAACCAACCAAGAGCTTAGGGGAGGGGGGGGTGCATAATGGAGTCTTGATTCTAAGCCTGCATGCCACTTGGCTCACAGGAAGGGTGAACTGGCTTCTCTCTTCCTTAGCCTTGCATGGTTTGTGTGGCTTACAGGAAGGGCAAACTGGCTTTTTGTGGTACTCTTCCCAGACCCAGCATGACTTCTGCTGACTCACAGGAAGGGCAAACTGGCTTCTGTTTTCCCAGGCCCCACATCATCTGTGACTCAGAAGAAACTTTGGATTGGACTATTTCTTCTAAATTTCTGCCTATGCCATTGCTATGGGGGGAAAACAATCATGGGCTTGGCGGAGGCAGAGCCAAGCTGATTTCATTCTGTAATGGGAGCTCTTTCTTGGATTGACAGTCAATAATTTAAGCATTAGCAGTGTTTTCAAGTGGAGTACACTTGACATGGGAGTGAGGAACTGGAGATGCTCACAACCTGTGGCTCTGAAGTTTTCTCTTTTGGAAAGGGCAATGAGTACCTGTACCTAAGCCTGGACTGTAGCATGCTGTGAAACTCCCAATTGATGAGGACTTTCGACTCCAGCAGTGGTTTTATACTGAGAACTAAATTTCCCAGAATTCTCTCACTGAGTGAAGCTGGCATATTCTGAGTGAAGCTGG